TCATATGGCTCCCCCAGTAACGACCATGTCGTCAGCAAGTGGCTTTTTGGCGGGCTGTTTGTAGTATCAGAGTACTCAGTAGCTTGCAAATTACATCGTGCCAGAAGCTCTGGAACACGTCAATGGATTAAGTCACGCCAGGATGTTACAAGAATTGGATGGAGAAAGTGCAGAATCGTGTCTTATTGTGGTATATCTACACCAACGCCCCAGCGCCCTCGCTATGCTCCGAACCCAGATCTCTCAGAACATGTATGCCGAATTAACGGCGGCGGCCTTGCAGCTTTGCGCGGAGGAAGGCGCGTCGAAAGGCGCGGTCGCGGGCGGCGGGACGAAGACGATTCCAAAACTAGAAGTAGAAAGTCAGCATTGTGACAACTTTGGAATGACGAGCCAAAAACAAACAAAGATGGGAATACTCACGTTTTGGAGACGCCTGGCCTCCTCAGCCTCAGCGCGAGCAACCTGCTCCCTCTATTGCTCCTCCTTCTCCTCCTCGTTCATCCTCCTCAAGTAGATTTGGAGGAGGTTGTACGCGAAGTTGGTCGCGACCTTTGACAGGCCCATGTTGGCCGGTACTTCCTCTCGCGCACGCGCAGCGACTCCCAAAGCCCAATGCATCCGGGCCAGCGAATAGGAGGCTGATTTGTCGTCCATAGTGATGTGATGATGGTTTGAGTGGTGTGGGGTTGGTCTTGAGGTTGTTGGTGAGGTTTTGTTGAGTCTGTCGCAATTGTCAGCCTTGATTATCATGATACTCATGCGGTGTAGCACGATCTCAATGATAACTGGAATTCAAAACTTACGGTATGAGGAGTTGGTGGATCTGGAGTTCGGTCAAGTCCAGCAACGAGGAGAAGATATAGGACTTGGGCCCGCGCAACACGTCAATAGCAACAAACTCGGACAATAGATAGCAGACCTTCAGCAGAGAGCTGCATCGATTGCTATTGTGCTGGAAGCTTTCAATATGGTCTATGTATACAGCATGCAAATTCCAGTCGAGTCACAATAGGTCCAGCCCAGCAACGTAGAGGTCCCTCGACCTAGAATTCTCTAAGTCACCTCGCAATTGCGCGCACTCGCATGCGTAAGCTCGCCATGTACGCAACACGTAATCTCAATTTGCGTTCAAGTCCTTCACGGCTCACCTTCATCAAGCTAGCAGTGCACATGATGCTGTCGATTTTTGCACCGCCAGGGCGTCTCCTCTGGTCCCCTTCACTTTTGGGGACGCGCAATTTGTAATCTCCCTCCAGGCAAACACGCGTGGCCTTAATGCTGTCGTCGCTACGTCAACAAGCTTGATCAATTTTGTCCTTACCCACCTACTCACCGTTTTATCCCACAACACACTCGCACCCCATGATCTTCTTCTCCCTTGCATTTTATTCTACCCATTTTACATTATCAGCACCTTCGTCACTCTTTTCCACAGCTTCCTGGTCCTTTGAGATGGCAGTGTCAACCTCCGCATGCACGGGAGCGACAACAGTCACTCGACCGCGACGCACACCAGCGGCGCGTCACCTCCATTCAGCAGCTTCTGACATTCAAACTCTGCCTCTCGGCGTTTGGGTACTCACTCTCTGTATGTCCCCTCTTCTTGCTCACCCCCACCGCCCATGATGATCCCTGCCGTTGGCGGAAGCTACACTTTTCGAGACATGTAGAACCGCTACTCTGTGGCTGGTTCACAGTTGATGATAGAACAAGCTTTCTTATGGACAGCATACCCACGCATTGCGCCGGAAATCTTTTTAAGATCGTATGCTGACAGCTATTTAGTAGTCACACACCCTCTCTGCAAGGTCACTCGAGGCGACCTCGAGCTACGCCAGGCTGTCGCGTCGCACTACCGTTCAAAATCCCCTCTCCTTCTCCAAGGCATATCAGAGAAGACAAGTGCCGTCGTGCACGTTCAGATTGGTAAGTCCTCCTCTCTTCCTCGCTCGTCGCGTTGCTATGATGATACCTTGTCTCGGCACTACCCTCCTATATAATCTTCAAGCCAGGCGATGGTTACCCTTGGTAGCCTCCCTCATTACCTAGCTTGCCGGATGGGTAGGATGTCGAAATAAATCTGGAAAGAACAAATGAGCAATTGCATTAGCCATTCCATTCAGCACTGCTTCAATCTACTGAATGTTCGCTAACTGAACCAATACAGCGTCCCCTAGTCCCGGTCTTCCAGCACATTCGAAAGGAGAGAACACCAGTACCTGTGTCGCGGCCGGTCGGATACTCCACTCTCATCCTGCCAGCAGCAGCTCGGCCGCAATCGTCCTAGCCTTTCATTCTTCGACGAGACTCTGCCTTCTCAACACTCATGACCTCAAGTATCGGTCCTGGCAACAGTAAGTCTCATCTCTTCGCTGTCCTTCCCCACCCCTGCAATGATATCAACCCGATTAGTTTCAAAGAACACGCTTCACTTTGATCCGTCGAGGAACGCTGCAAGGAGCTCGGCCTAACAACCTTGAGCTCTCCAGCAGCTGTCTAAAGAGACAGAACTAATCTTCTTTGATACGCCGGCTTCTTTCTCCACACGTTTCGTTCCTACTCCTTGATATCCGCTGACCTTCCGTGGTATCTAGACATGACGCCCGTTACTTACCCGTCCACACGAGATGCAGTGGTCCAGCTCGGCCAACCCTACGTCCTTCGCCTGGGTGCCGGGTCGACCAGAGCAGTGCCCGCACGAATGTTGCGCCTCATGCTAGTAAGTGCCAACCCGCTACCCTTACCCACTGCTACCATGAAAACAAACCGGGCTGTGGTTCAGCTTCTCGAACCACGGCTGTTGAGGAACGTTGCAACGGAATTCGGCGTAAAACCCTTGAGTTCCTTAGCAGCTAGTACGACGATACAGTCATCCATTTATGCTAATCTCTTGATCCGCCAACACCCTTTATTACCATCCTTCATGTCTATTTCCTGGATTTCGCTGAACTTTTCCTGTACCCAGACGTATCAAGACGGCAGCTAGACTCGCCCGTTTTGTTGGCACACGAAACCACAAAGGTAAGTCAATCCCTCCCGAACCTCTGGCCATACCATGATGATACCACCGATATCGTCTGAGTCCGTTGATGACAACATCGTACTCATTCCAGCTGACGTTCCCGATTCTTTCCACACACGCTCCTCCTTTACTCGACGAGCATTCGCTAACCGCTTCACAGAACCGCAGTGAGTTTACGCGGTCCGATCAGCTGACAGCTTCAGCAACATCTGCTTCTTGACCGGTCAGATCAGGTACGTAAGCGCGCGTCCACTCCCTACTTTCTCGCAAGATGATCAACCGCCCAACTCCCGAATCGCTCAAGGTCGCTTCTCAACATGAGGGTGCTAATCGTTGGTCTACGTTTCTGACGAGACATGGCTCCCTCTTTCTGCTTGTCTCCGTTGTCGAACTTCACTGACATTTGCGAGATCTATTAGAGAACGAACGCCACCACCAAAACGCTGATTACATTGAACGTCGCGATTGATCTAACTACGGTACGTCTACATCCTGTCCTCTTCACAATCGGCAGATGATGAGATAGAGGTGACGCCACAATGGTATCTGATAGTCTGAACTCTTCATTGAAGAAACTACGTCACCACTCTGATGCCTCTCTGCTCCCTCCACTCCAAACGAACATTTCCTCGAACCATGCTAATCAGATGTATGTCACGCAGTCTCTCCACGCTTACGACGACACCTCCCCCTAGCAACGCACGCGATTCCTCCGCACTGTCTCCCTCGAACGAACACCCCGCAACACCGACTTACGAACACAAGGAAGAAAGAGAAGGAACAAGGCGCGCATCAGCCACCCAGCAGGCTGTCATGCTTGGCGGTACAGCCTCGCAAGCTGGCACTTGCATATCATCGCGGCACGGGCACGTAGCTTCTGCCTTTCCCATGGCGCAGCTACACACCCACGCGCCGAAGAAATTCTGGTGTCATTCGACAGCCTCCGCCATGTTTTTTCCGTACTTGCTCTGGCAAGTTACATGGCGGTCTTGACAGTGACATCTGCCCTTTATAGTAAGACTTGACTAAGAACTCTACTCGGTCAGGTTTAAAGTAGTGGCTAAATATCAATTTTGTCACAGCTAACTCGTCAGGTAAGTCACCTTCCCATTTGACATCGTCATTTCAGTCACTCTTTACTCACATTGAACAGATCCCCTGGCTGCTCATTGTAGTCCAACTTCTCAGCGGCACGTTTACGGTCCATTGTACTTCTTCCATAAGAACGGTGGCAGGGCGTGTCGCAAGATCAAGATACCTCATCCATCCTCGTGCTCTCCTTACACTCACCGAGAGCATAGATGGGCGGCTGAGGCGAGCGCTACAAAGGGTGTCTCGAGCCTCTTTATGGCCCTGGCATAATATCTAGCAGCTTACATTTTCGTTCTACTGGAGGTTTGTTGGGGGTATGGTGGAGCGCGAGGACAACGTCGAGCTAGAAACGAAGCTTCTGATGGGGTTCAATTGGGGTGTATTTTGTAGATGGCTTGTGTGAATGACTTGGTCACAGCATGAAACTCGCAGTGTACGCCACAGCCTACAGTATCTACTGGTTCCTTTTGCGTAGATATCAAGATTGCATCTTCTTTAAACTCCCTCAATTCTCATGTGCCGCAAAAGTGAAGGCGAGCCTACTAAAGTGGCACTGAACGCACCAAGGACGGAAATCCAAAGGAAGAGAAAACTTGCACCATCACTGTTTCCTCGCCGCGCGACGTGCAATTTTCCGCTTCTCACGGTGAAATGTCCTCCCCCGCTCCTCTTCCCAAAGCGTATGTGTGAGTGTGAGGAGGGGGAGCAAGGTAGGTAGGTACAAATCCACGTCTCTGACTGACTTTTGCTCCTTAACCCAAACACCCACCCACATCCGTATGTATCCTTCTGAACCTCCTATTCCAGCTTCAAATCACGCTATTAGAGCACACGTAGCTAACATAGATATACGTAGAAATCATACCAAATCATCACCACCAACATGCCCGTCTCCTCCTCCGAGCTCGCCGAGGGCATCCACCTCGCCCGCCGCGAAGTAAGTTTCTACCTGCTACAATACATCCACAGCTCTATTCTACGATACAATGTCATACCCAGAAGGATACAGTATTAATAGGAGTTCTAGCTCAGGTTCGCCCATGCCGCCCGCCGCCGGCACGTGCAGTGCGGCACGTGGAGCGTCGACGAAGACCTGGCGCTTCGGCGCACCATCCGCCTCTGCCGGCGCGCGCTGGCCGCCTTCCTCCCCGCCTACTAGGTGGCCCTCGAGCGCGAGGCCAACTTCCAACGTAAGTTATATTCCTTTTACTTGTTTTGGTAGTTGGGCATTTGGAGCTGTATCAGCAGAGTGTCTTCACATCTACTCTCCTTCATCAACAACACTCACACTATACCTAATTGGAACACTGCTAACATGTAAACAGAGGCATAGTGCCCCCTGGCCCCCCTCCTCGCGCCCCTCGTCCGCGCCCTCGCCCGCTGCGCCCTCGCCGGCTGGCTGCCCTTCGGGGACAAGAAGATGACCTCGGGCGGAAACTTTGGGCCCTAGGCCATACGATTTGAAAATTCTGAATAGACCGTTTCCTCCTCGCCATATCATGCTGTCTTGATCTCCTCTGTGCCAGTGATGTGTATACCTAAAGACGACCTACGCACCTATCAGCTGCCTATCTCCAAGCCACATGTATGCCTCACGCCGTATTACAAACTTTGTATCACAGCACGACGAGCGGGATGTAGCGTCCTGGCATCCTTGTATTCCTACTTACAGTGGGTATAAAGCGAATGTCTACTCCAGCCTCTACTCCTCCAACCAGTCCGCGGCACTACCAATAGCCCTACTAACAATGCCAACCCACCTCTCAACCCCCTCTTCACTCTCCTCCTCAATCGCCTCAACGATACCAGGAAACGTGGCCCCAGAATAGCCCGTCCACTTCCCAGGTGCGAAGACAACGTGCTTGAACCAGCTTCGGCCGTCAAGACCATCCGGGAACAGGAACTTCCTCTCTAGGTACTTGTACTTTGTGTTGATGCCGCGGATGGCGAGGTATAGTTGCACCTTCTTCCAGGGCTGCCACCAGGGAATGTCGCCGATGTTTTCGTATTGCGCTGCGAGATCAGCGGCAGTGGCGTCGTGGAGGATGGACGCGAAGAGGAAGTGGGAGACGGCTTCATCGAGAGGTTGGAAGACTTCGCTGGAGTCTTTGTTTGGGGGACCAGCGTCGAAGGCCTTTCGTTTGACGGCGTCGACGTAGGTCTGGAGGCCGACCGCGTAGTCTGTGGCATTCAGCTGGAGGATGGGTGTCTCGACGAGCTTGGCTGCTACGAGCGCCCACATCTTGGCGATGGTGGCATGGTATTCGAAGGTCGGGTCGCCGTACTTCTTCATCCAATCGAAGGAGTCGTAGTTGCTGTGGTAGTGGTAGACCGCTGACTTAGCATCAAAGCCGAAGCCCATGTCAATACATGGAATGCCGGCGAAATCCTGGAAGGCGGTGAAGTCGCTGCCAGAGCCCATCGTCTCTATGCGCTTGTCCCAAATATCGTAGACAGATTGGCCAGCGACAGTCTGGTTCGGGGACATGACCATACGAGCTGGTGAATGTTAGCTAAGGCTCATGAACAGGGCATGAAAGCAAGCTTACCGACTTCCTCCACCACACTGCTCATCAAGGGCGCCGCCGAGAGCTTGAAGTTCGGGCCTGCTGTGGCAACGTCGACATTCAGATATGCGACTGTGGAACCAGAGAGCCAGGGCAGGTACTCCTCGACCCACTCGGTGCTGCCAACCAAGCCGTACTCCTCTCCGTCCCAGCTCGCGAAGACGATTGTCCTCATTGGCTTCCAGCCAGCCTCCATGGCAGCTCCAAAGCTTCTGATGACTTCGTTGAGCGCTGCGCTGCCGCTGTTTGGGTCTCCTGCGCCTCCAGCAATCCAAGCATCACGGTGGTTGCCGAGAACAACGATTTCATCGGGAATGGTGCCGTTGACGATTCCAATGACATTCCACAAGGGCGTCGTAACGTACTCCTGCTCGTTGACCAAGTTGAGCACGAGGTCGTCTGGCGAAGGCCCAATGTTATATTCCACGCCCTTGTAGTCCAAACCGCCGCCGTGCCAGTGCCCGTTGAAGGATGAGGCTTTCGGACCGTGGCCATTGAGGGCTTTGAGGAGGGGAAGCGCGTCGAGGTAGGAGATGGGAAGAGATGGGATGTGTGGCATCGCGTGGTCCACGGGCTGGCGAGGGCAGCCAGGTTTCGAGGGATAGCCTGGCGTGGTAGGGTCACCTGGCGCGAAGCCTGTAATTTGTTAGCATGGCACGACAGAATGATGGGTAACAACTTACTCAAGAACTGAACGCTTCCTCGCTGAACGCTGCTGGGCTCTCTGGCCGGTCCGTCGGGATATGTCGCGACGCCGTTCTTTTCGGTGACCTCTCCATCATCGCCAGGGTCGGTGTACATGGCAACACCAACCATGCCCAGCTCTTGCGCGCGCTTGACCTTGAGACCGCGGAAGACGCCTCCGTACTTGGCCAATGCGATCTTGCCTTCCAGACTGATGTTGGCCGCCTGTAGCTCCTCAAAGTCTCTGTACGTCCCGTAGTTGACGAATACGTAAGGCGCCGTCACGTTGCCAGAGGCGCTGTATCCGTGGAAGGTTGCCACGCGATCTGCGAGCTGGCTTGACTTGTCCGCGTCCAAGACGTCTTCTTCCAGTCGCGCTTCGTATTTGATCTTCCACTCTGGCTCTGTCGTGCTGTCAGCCGCGTCTTCCTTGTCGCCAATCTTCTCCATAAGTGCCAATCGATGGCCCTTGGGGTAGTTGATGTAGACGTCGTAGTCGACAATGGTGCTTTCGACTCCCCATTCCTGCCATCTTTCTCTGGTCCATAGAGCCTGGCTGAGGTTCTTCCCGGCAAGATGCGGTCCGCTGGTGTAGTACCTGCTCCATTCTTCTGCCTTTTCGGCACTGGGTGTTTCCAGGAGCGCCGCCTTGAGGCCTTCGAAGTCCAGGGCCGTCTTGCGCGCCCATCCGTCGGGTATTTGCGAGGTCGATAAGGAAGATGCCGAGAATCGTGATGCAGGGGCTACTTCGTCTTGAGTGGGTGGCGCAAAGGCGAAGAGGAAGACGGCAGCAAGTCCTCCAGCGATTATCGTCGCGCTCAGCAAAGTCGTGCACACAAATCGAAGGCGATGGTGTGGGTATCGATCGCGATGGGGTCGGACGTCGACGCGCTGAATCAGCGGGGTGCTTTCGTCGGCCATTGTCGCTGGCTTCTCATTGCTCGCCGGGAGCTGCATATACAAACAAGAGGATTCTTTCACACCTGGCCAGAGGCATGCAAGATGGAAGTCGAGATAAGAGACAGCTGCGCGGAGCTATGCCGGACACCAATGGGACCGAGGTCGATGGCGTCACGCACTTATCTCGTCCTATCTTAGCGCGGCTGCCATGTCAGGGGTCTGAGGAGCCGCGGAATTTGTTGCCAACATCAGACCTTTATCTGCATCGCACATCTCTTCGAAGGGAGCGCGCGTTTTGGCAGGCATCTCTAATCACGCAGTTGAATCTTGTGGCGCTTCGTTCTATGCAACAGACTGTTCATCGACCACGTGATCGCTCTCCGCACGTCGCGCACAGCGTTATCCGGCCATCGTACACCATGCATTCCACCTGAAGTTCTAGATCTAACGATTTCGCAAACCACGGCAATGATGCTGAGTGGCTTCTACGGTCTACGAATGAATCTCTGTAGGCTCGCACAACTTCTGCAATGTCATCTGGCTCATGTTCTCAACTTCATTTCTCCACACCATGTGCTGTCTTTTTCGTCAATGATTCATGTCTATCAACTTCTTCCGATTCTTAATTTCCTCGGCTTTCGCACCTGCGGATCTCATGTTGTCATCTCCAATATCAAGCGACCAGAACAGCCAGCAGCTCTACCAAAGTCTCTGGGCGCAGCGACGACATTGCTTGTTCCCGTCATTTCCCTCACAATGCTCTCTACACAACCTTGCCCTAATGCTGTCTCGTCGTAAGCTGGGCTTCGTTCTCGGTCAACAAAGACGTCGTGAAGATTGTATAATGGCCGTCACATCCATTGTCGCATTGTCAACGCCCAAGTCGACACTGAATAGAAGCAATGCAAGTGGATTTATATACTAACGCCTACTTCTTCCCTGTGATGCTTCAGCAATCCACTCGAGTCCGAACTTACCCAACATTGCAATCTTGACGCAAACGCAACACCCCGAACCCAATACATCGAACCCGCAACACGAACTCCGCGACACAATGGCCACTCCCTCCATCGCAGCCCCCCAGCTCATGGGTATTACCGGCGACAACTGCGCGTCCTGCAAGTCAACTACCGTCCCACTTTACGACCTGCCCTGCCACGAGAGCGACGACTTCCACTGCCGCGACTGCCTCACCAAGACTTTCCACGCCGTCAACGACCAATTCGTACGATGTCCACACCCGTCATGCCGCCGCATTGTCGGCTTCGAGCAGCCTACACCCCTCGCGCAGAACCTCCATCTTGACAACGAGTTCTACGACCGGGAGCGCATCGACAAGATCCGCGAGCAGCCGGAGGTCATGAACAACCTGATCGCGTACGTAGGCGAGGAGGCTGAGGTCATTCTACAACACGTCTACACTATGTTCGAGGACCAGCTCCTGGATCCCGTAGCCCTCGGCGGCGTCGCTGGACACTACACTGCCCGTGCCGCAAACACGCTCCTAGCCAGCTTCGCCTGCAACCCCTTCGTCTGTGGGCTCCTCGCTCAAATTAAAGGCACGTTCAAGCTAATGACTACCCCGTATGAGCTTGAAGAAGACCTTAATACCCTTCTTGATAGACTACTTCACGAGTACGCGCAGTTGAACTATGGGAACGAACTCACTCGGCACGGTATCGATTTGGAGCATGAGGGCGCGGTGCTGGCTGCCGCACTGAATAACTACAAGCCCTTCAACGAGCTCAAGGAGAACTGGGAGCTGATTATCAAGAAGTGGGTAGAGCTGCTGGCTTGGAGGCACTTGGAGCGCCTGGCACCGCCTGAAGGAGGTGCTGCGGAGCGTAAGAACCGTCAGTTCTAGGGCATAACATGTAGGCCAGAATCACGTGGCGAGGATCTCGTAGTATAACATGCCGTCTTTTCAATCAATATCATCATCAATGCAGTTCGTAGCCTGCCATATCTCTGCTCGTACGTCATATCAAAACTGCTGCCGCACTAACCCGTCAACACGTACCTTCCCCGTCCGCTCCCAGCCAACCACATCACTCCCCCGCTCCTTCCCTTTGCATAAGTCACCCTCACCACGACTTTAATCTCCCGGTGTTCCCCCGACAGCACCTAGGCACGACCCCCAACAGCATGACTAAGAAGCTCCGTGCTTTCAGGCTCTTAGCGGCTCTCCCTCGCACTATATAAACAGCCGATCCCCCTGCCCAAACCACCAACTCACCTTCTCCCGCCGGGCCTCTTTAGATAGTTGCTTTCTGCTTTCTGCTTTTGCTTTCTTCTTTCT